GGCTAGCTGAAAAGTCACATGCAAGAAATTCAGTTGAAACATAAAGGAATTTCACCCTTCCGAGACTGTTGGTAAGATGAAAAATCATAGGAGGCAGCATGGGCAAAATTGGAGGTTGGATTCATTCCTCTCTGATTGATCCAGCATCAACGGGTAGCTTGTCGCAGTGGCCAATTCGGCCATTCCAAGACGCCTTTCTGGTTCCCAGCGGCCGACCCTCCTTTTCCTGTTGCCGATTCAATTTCCGCTGGCCGGCCAAACTCTTCCGGTGACCCATTCACGCCGCCCCCCCTGTGCCTCGTTGGGTAAGGCCAACCCCCGATTCCTAGACAGATTCCGCTAATCCTAAGTCCTTACACAAGAAAGAACGCGCAGTGGCACACATGCACACCTTAACTTGGTTTTCAAAGTTGGCTTTGCATGCTCGGGCGGAAGCCGAGTGTCGGGTGAAATCGTTGGAGTTGCAGAGATTTGGTGGGATGTGTGCAGCTTCGAGCTGGAGGCCTGAACCCAATGCCTCAGCGGCATCACAAGGATCCAAAAATCTGCAACATCTCAGGCTTGGTCAAATCGTTGAGTGTCATGGCCAATGACCGTCGCGACGTTTCTTCAGGTTGCCCTTCAAGCAAAAGACTGAGCAGGTTGAAATATAGGGCAAGTTTTGTCGAGTTGTGGCCAGTTTCGGTCGTGGCACGGAATTTGTGCAGTGGGCCCCACTTCAGCTAGCATTGCTGTTCCCACAGGTCAACACAGCTTCATGTCAGCTCGTAGACTTCCAGAATCCAGTTTGACAGGTCTTTAGAATGCGAATGATGCGGTCGAGCTTTCCATTGACGAAGGCACGGTTTGTCCCCTCAGGACATTGCTTTCGATTTCTGAATGAGCCTGCCACTGTAAGCTTGATTGGCAGACGCGAACGATGCAACAGAGAGTCGTCATGATTGTGAATGGCGTCGTTTCCTGGCGTGATAGCAGAGCTTTGCGTATACTTCCTGAATCAAGGCCATTGCAGCATGTGCTAAGGCAATGACTTGCATCCTCCTGAGCTTGGTGATCCTAGGACTCACAGTCTGTTGAGACATTCACATGCTTTTTTTGGGCTGTCGCATTTGAGAGGATTCAGCATGGACTATATGCCCGGTTGGGTTGGTTGGACTGTGCTGGAGATGATCTTTGCCTTGGTGCCATGCTCAGGGTCCTGTGATTTGAACGCGCCCCTCTTTTCTAGGATCAGGTGGGTTGCAGTTTTCAATGCGAACCAACAAATATCTTGAATGCAGCAGCATGATGCTTTGACGTAAGAATGAGATTCGCAACCTTGAACGAGACATGGGCAAGGCTTTATGAGCGTGATGCTTCTGGTCTTGACATTCCATCCAAGCAGAGTGATTATGTCCAACACCTCCATGCAGCGGAGAGCTACTGGCAGGTCTTTGTGATCGAGGTTGTGGTGAAATTGCTCGTTTTGGGTCCTCGGGTGTACTTTACTGGTGCTGGATATCGCTGGAATATAGGCTGGCCGAAGTTGCTTGAAGCCAAGTACAGGGAGAGCTTTCGTGGTGACCAGGTGATCTCGTACTAACCGTTGTGGCGGTCGTAGATGTTATCATAAGCACAGCGGCTTCCTCATCCAGTTCTGCCCGCATGAGCTCCTGGGCTGGTCCAGCTATCAATTTCAGCTGTACAGAAAGGAATCCATCACAGATTCAGCTCAGGTATGGTTCTGCGTGGACTGAGATTATCGCGAGTTGCTAGACTCATAAAGGCCTACCATCACTTGCAGAAGCTTCCAAACAACATTCAACATGGCCGCCTCCATGTGGCACGTCATGATGTCATGACGAAGGCAGTCGTAGTCTGTCCAAAACAAAGCACGAAAAATGTCGATTCCTTTTCGAATACTTAGCTGCTTGTCTTCAGGATCCTGGGATCAAGTGTGGGTAGCAAGGTGTAGGTTTGGCAGTTGCTTCAACGAGCCCTTGCGCAGTTGATGCATTGGCCGCTGTTGGCTGAGCTTGCGAACATGATATCAGCCTCTGGGCTGAAAGTTGGGTGGTCCTGTGAACATGTTATTAGGTATTCAGGGATGTTTTTTGCTGCGCTAACACGAGCTTGTCAGAGCGGTGAATGCAAGCGCTGAGGCCATGGTGATTGGTGTTCCGTGGCTGTTCTGGGTCACGATTCTTCTTTGCTGCTTGGCGTTTGAGGGCTTCGGCATCGGCACAGCAGGTGGGCTGAGAAGCATCGTAAGGTGGAGTTCTCTATGTGTGCGCCATTGTTCTCCGAAGCACAGTCAGCAGTCAAGCGGCAGAGATGTATGCCAGGCAGGAGAGGGTTTTTCACAAGCTGGCACGACACAAGCCTATATCGAATGTGACTGACAGGTGTGGCAGTGGTGACACTGCAGATTTTGCTCCTCCGCGCGATGGGTGCGTGATCGCGCTTATGTATTTGGAGGAGTACTGTGGGACCGTCTACACGTGCATGTTCACAGCCAGGAGCTCAAGGCAGATGAGCAATCTCTGGGTGATCGTCCCGTAAGTTGGTCTTTGAGGTTTTCCGTTGCCTGATTGGCGACTGCAACTCGAAAGGTGCACTGCCCAGTGTAGCAAAACTGGGAATTTGAGATGATAAAGGTGGCCGGCCACTCGCTGCTGTGTTCAGCGACCATTACGGGTGGACTTTCGAGGGGCCTTAGCCTTAGCGTTAAAGTTGACAGTCAAGTGGTTGCTTGGAATCAAATTGGTACGCAGAGGTTCTACGGTTTGAGCATGGTGACTATGATTTTTGGCATGACAAACATCATCACCGTGCTGTCCTCAGTCCGAAGCAAATGAGTTTCAGCCCAAGCTACAATTCAAGATTGGCACTCGCAGGCGATGTTTGTGGATGCCACGCTTTCTGGCCTGAAATACAACGATGCGCAGCCCCTAGCAGTGGGCTGTTTCCTGAACTTGTGCGTCACATTCTGGGCCTCAGCGTAAGGTGCAACGAAAACATGCCAAGCTGCCACCGTCTGAGAGAAGCTTCTACACTGTGGGCTGAAGCGCTTTGCCATGTAAGAATGCAAGCGCTGAGAGGCATGAGACAAACTACGTGACTCGAAAGCTCAATGAGCTTGTGACCTGCCTGCCTTTGATGCTTAAGTGCCGCTGGAGCCACATCCTAGCTTGTCAGGTCGTGCGAGTCTCCAAGACCGTCAGGCCTCCTGAGCAAAACTTGTACGTGACTGTCAGCATAGCCTGTGGCTGACTTTCTGGACTTTTTCTGTCAGGGAGCTGAGAACTGCCGACAATTTTGAAGATTCGCAGACAAACTGGCAAAAGTCCTTCAAATCGTTTCTTCGCAAAGGGTCAGCGAAAATCAGTTTGGAGCCTAGAGACAGGTGCTTGTAACCATGTTTGATTCATTTCCATGCTTGGAGGAAGACAGGTCTTCTGTTTGTGTTCTAAGGTGACTCGGATCTGGACCGAGAACTCGCTCTCTCTGAAACAGAGTTCACCCAAGTTCTCCAAAATTCGAAGTAGCTGGGCTCAGAGCAAGCTTTGGCTCAGCTGCAGCG